CACTCATTTTCTTAAATTTCTTCCTATTGAATTCAAATTTAAATTTTAAGATATCCAACATAAAATTTTAAAGTATTAACCTTTGGGCTACCTCCTTAGAGGTATATTAAAATACACTTGATAAATAAGACTATGCCCTGCTCAAGAATAGATAGGGTGGTAACTTATGGGTTAGGGATTGTTTATTGTCGAAATCTCTTGTTGTTCTCATGAACCTGGTTAAATAAGTGAAGAAGTCTAGTAGCTTTTAATGCTCACAGTGAGTTTCCTTTCTACATTTGTAGTTCTATTTAGCTTAAACAGTAATTGTAATAACAATTTTTACTTTTAGATTACTCTCTTTACTTAATTGTCTATATCCATCATAAATATAATTTAAATATATTACTAGTGCTGTAAATTATTCTTTTAAATTCTGTTTTTAGAATGTGCTGCTTTAGGTTGTATTGTCATGAGATGGAGGGTTATATTGTAATTTTTTATTATTTAATATATTTTTTTATTTTCTATAAAAAAAATATTTTTATAATTTAAATTACAATCTTAACATGCCCTTAGACATGGAAAACATGAATATTTTAGGAAAGACTTCGAACACAACTAAACAACGCAAAGGGGGGACCCGATGAGTCACAAACGCATGTCCAAATGTGAATCCAAAAGCCGGAAACACTGGATTTGATCAGCAATTTATTTTCCCAGTTCTCTGCATTAGTTGATTATTATGGTTCAGTGGAGCGTACTAACCCATACCCCCTAAGATCCGTCCTTCTGGGTGCCAATATTGTTTCCCTCCTTCAAAGCCGCTGCCTCCAAAAAAAAATATAGCCTAAAGGGAAAAGCTTTTTAGAGTCTTCTAAAGCCAGGGGGAGGTTTTGGTTTTCCTCAGACGAACAAACGAAAGAACTGTGCTTTTGCTTCTCTTAAAGGGAATTAAGTCATTTCTGGATACATATATAATAGTCTGTTTAAAAAGGGTAAGCTTTACTTCTATTCCTATTTCTAGAGTTGATTAATTCAGTTCCTACCATAAAAATCCTCGTTTGTCAAGTCTTTTTTGAAAATTTGTTTTTAGTTCTACTTGATAGCTAAGTGGGAGTGTCTTCTTTTCTTTATTTGCTTGAGGAGTTACTAACGTTGGCTTAAAGTTGCACTCTTTTTACGTGTTCTTGAAAAGTATGTGTTTTGATAATGTCCCTTTGCTGTTTCTGCACGCGGGTTTAATTTGTCGCATTCATTGTGTAGAGCAGTAAGGAATTTTGGGTTCTTCGAAATTTTGAATCTTTTCATTGGTTTGGAGGAGAAGCCTGAACCCAATGATACCAAGTTTGAGATTTGAAGCCTGGTGAGTTTTCAGATCTGAATTTCCATGGAAATGTTATTTTATATTCTGCTTGATTGAGGAGAGTTTAAGAGTTCCTTTCTATATTAAATAGCTTCTTTAGATCTGTAATACCACACCAGTTCAAGCTTTATTCGTTTCCTTTATAGCTCCTTTTTCCTTTTCAATCTTTAGGAAGTGGGTCCTCTTCGTTCTTTGATGTCCTGTGAACTTTTGAACTATTTTTCATGGATCTTAGAAGCACCAAAAACGCAAAATTTTCACTGCCAGTGCTTGCTTCTTCCAGTTTTGGGTATGAATGTCAGATTCTGTAGTTTTTTTTTTTACGTGATTTGATTGATTTTTCGGCTTCTGTATTGTTTCAATACCTCTTTTTGCTGTCCTGAGTTGAATCCCCTATCTCCAGGGTGCAGTTAATTTTAGTTTTAATTGATATCTGTTCATCTGAAGCAGTCTAATTAACGTGGGAGAATTAAATTTTTAGTCATGTCACCTATGATATGCACTGTTTTCTCGCTGTAATTTGTATCAGTTAATTTACTAGAAAAGCTTTGATGTGTTCTTTTTGAATTAACAATCTAGTTAGGGATATTACATTCCATATAATGGAGAAATTGAGGGTCTCTCATGAAACCTGATATAGCTTATGTTACTAATTTCATTCTATTTATGGCAGAGTGGCTTCTCATGCCAGGTTTGCGTGCATGGGATTTGGTATCTTTTAGATGTGTGAAATATTGTAAATATGGATCTCTGTGAAGATAGCTCAAGGTTTAGTTCGTTACCAGTGACAACCTTGAGAAATTTGTCATCATCTTCGTCAGCATTCTTTTCAGCAAATCAATCACCATTCTTCTCTCCAAGACCATCAACGTGTCAATTGTCTGAATCGACAAGGTCTGATGCTCAATTTGATAGCAATTTTTTAAGTGCCGATCCACCTAGCATCAGTTCTGGAATTCCAGAACCTGAATCTCTAGCAAATGTTTTATATGCCCTGCCAGATATGTCATTGATACCAGCTTCTGGTATTGCAAATGACTTCCAGAAGTTTGATCTTGTTTCACCCACCACTGTTGTTTCTAATAGCACCCTATCTAGTTACAGCCATGCTAATGACAATGACTATTTTGGGCTAAGAGAGAAGCACAAGAAGAATGTGATAAACCACAGTATGTCATTTAGCCCCATTCCGGTATCTCTTTCCAGATTTAAGAGCTATGATATCTTCATAGGCTTGCATGGCTGCAAACCTTCTCTATTGAGATTTGCTAACTGGCTACGAGCTGAGTTGGAGATTCAAGGGATGAGTTGCTTTGTATCTGACAGAGCTCGATGCAGGAACTCTCGCAAACATGGAATTATTGGGAGGGCAATGGATGTTTCTTCTTTTGGAGTTGTAATTCTGACAAGAAAGTCATTTAAGAATCCATATACAATTGAGGAACTTCGATATTTCTCAAGCAAGAAGAATTTGGTCCCAATATTTTTTGATTTGAGTCTTGATGATTGCCTTGTCCGGGATATAGTTGAGAAGAGAGGAGAGCTCTGGGAAAGACATGGGGGTGAATTATGGTTTTTATATGGGGGTTTGGAGAAAGAGTGGAAGGAAGCAGTTAATGGCCTCACTCGGGTTGATGAGTGGAAATTGGAAGCTCAGGATGGTAATTGGAGAGATTGCATCTTAAGGGCTGTCACACTTCTGGCAATGCGATTGGGAAGGAGAAGTGTTATGGAGCGGTTGACAAAGTGGAGAGAGAAGGTTGAGAAAGAGGAGTTCCCATTTCCTAGAAATGAAAACTTTGTTGGCAGGAAGAAAGAGTTTTCTGAACTAGAATTTATACTTTTTGGTGATATTAGTGGAGACTCAGAAAGAGATTATTTTGAACTCAAGGCCAGACCAAGGAAAAAGAATTTGACAATTGGGTGGAGTAAGAGCAGTTTAGCAGATGAAAAACGCCGGGGAAGGCAACGTGGAAGTAGTAGCGGGAAGGGCAAAGAACCTGTTGTTTGGAAGGAGTCAGAAAAGGAAATTGAGATGCAGAGCACTGAATTTTCTCAAAGGCAGCACCATCAAAGGACCAGAAGTGGTAGTGGTGGACGGTATGCCAGAAGAAAAAGGTCAACAAAAATTTTACATGGGAAGGGGATTGCTTGTGTAACAGGAGAGTCAGGAATAGGCAAGACAGAGCTTCTTCTGGAGTTTGCCTATAGATATCACCAAAGATACAAGATGGTTCTCTGGATAGGAGGGGAGAGCAGGTATATTAGGCAAAACTATCTAAATCTCTGGTCGTTTTTAGAGCTTGATATTGGGGTTGAAAACTGCTTAGAAAAAAGCAGGATAAAAAGCTTTGAAGAGCAGGAAGAGGCAGCCATTTCTAGGATCCGGAAAGAGCTAATGAGAAACATACCATTTTTGGTGGTCATTGATAATTTGGAAAGTGAAAAGGATTGGTGGGACCAGAAGCTTGTGATGGAACTTCTTCCCCGTTTTGGTGGGGAGACCCACATTCTTATATCCACTCGCCTTCCTGGAGTGATGAATTTAGAACCTTTGAAACTCTCATACTTATCTGGAGTTGAGGCAATGTCTTTGATGCAGGGAGGTGTAAAAGACTACCCAATTGCAGAAATTGATGCACTCAGGGTTATTGAAGATAAAGTTGGAAGGTTAACTCTGGGCCTTGCAATTGTGGGTGCAATTTTATCTGAGTTACCCATAAATCCCAGCAGGTTATTGGATACCGTTAACAGAATGCCCTTGAGAGACTTGTCATGGGGTGGTAGGGAATGTCATTCATTGAGGAAAAACACTTTCCTTCTGCAACTCTTTGAGGTATGTTTTTCCATATTTGATCATGCGGAAGGGCCAAGGAGCTTAGCAACTAGGATGGTCCAGGTGAGCGGTTGGTTTGCACCTGCTGAAATTCCTGTTTCTCTATTGGCCCTAGCTGCTAACAAGATACCTGAGAAGCATAAAGGAACCAAATTTTGGAGAAAAATGTTCTGTTCCTTGACTTGTGGTTTTACTTCATCATACACCAAGAGATCAGAAGCAGAAGCCTGTTCCATGTTGTTGAGATTCAATATTGCAAGAAGTAGTACCAAGCAAGGTTGCATCCATTTCAATGATCTCATCAAGCTTTATTCTCGAAAGAGAGGAGTTACTGGAGTTGCACATGCCATGGTTCAAGCAGTCATCAGTCGCGGATCTGTATCCCAGCATTCAGAACATATATGGGCAGCATGTTTCTTGGTATTAGGATTTGGTAACGACCCTATAATTGTTGAGCTCAAGGTGTCAGAGCTGTTATACCTTGTCAAAGAAGTTGTTTTACCTCTTGCAATTCGGACCTTTCTTACATTCTCCAGGTGCAGTGCTGCTCTTGAACTCCTGCACCTTTGCACCAACGCTTTGGAAGCAGCAGACCAAGCATTTGTTACCCCGGTGGAGAAGTGGTTGGACAAATCACTCTGTTGGCGGCCAATCCAAACTAATGCTCAGTTGAATCCTTGCCTTTGGCAGGAATTGGCGTTAACAAGAGCCACTGTGCTTGAAGCCAGGGCAAAATTAATGCTGAGAGGGAGACAATTTGACATAGGAGATGACCTTATTAGGAAGACTATTTTTATTAGAACTTCAATATGTGGTGAGGATCATCCAGATACTGTATCTGCTCATGAAACTCTAAGCAAACTTACCAGGCTTCTTGCAAATGTTCAAAATCATACTTCACCATAGATTTTATCTTCTTGTAAGCAATTTTTTACATTAGAATTATACAAATTTTACAAATAAAACTTCTGTAAACAATTCAGAGGAATTCTTTTCACCATTTTAAATGTGAATGACATATCATTCAACCTCTGAGTTTACACTTTTCCTATTCTCTGTTGGAAATGGCATAACTCTGACCATCCTTTCTAATGAATTGTAAGGCTAAGATTGAAAAAGCAGGCATTGATTAGAATGTTTCATGTAACAATTTAATGTATCAGCATTCCTGGAGTTATCAAGTTGAATTGGAACATAACTGAAGAAGAACAGACGGTTCTGGTACCATATCTTGGTCTCATCCCTTGTGAATTATGGCAATTATTGGTAAATGCTTTGTGCTTAATGATTTTATGCAAATACGTACCTTCCTCTGGTTAGGTTAAAGGTTTGGCGACTTGAATGCACCAGCTAAGTCTTATTTATTAAAATCTTATCAAAAAATTATTTTATATTTTA